AAACATGGGTTACTGAAACTTCTAGAGAAGGACTCCATTCAACCTTAAAGGAATTTTATGTTTCTTTGCTCAGGAGCAACAACGTGCAGATAAAGATGCTAGGCCTCCAATGTATACACATTTCGACATAGCTAGTATACAAGGAACATAATATTGCTTGTTGGGCTGAACCGGGAGCCTGAGTGAAAAGAGCGAGGAAGCATCGAAAGCCCAGCATACTGCAACAACAGATCTCGTGCAATGAATAGCTCGCCTTCCACCACTGGGAGAGAAAGAGCAGCGAAGGAAACTGGGCAAGAGGACTCAGATGCACACTATGTGCATCGCTCCCCTCTGTTAAAAGACCAAAACATTGAAAGCAAATAAAAACAACAACGGGGATAATGAAAAGTGAGGAAAGCTAAGCAGGGTTCCTTCCTGTCCCCCAGGTCTGACTCTTGGTCCGGCGCCAGGGTTAATCCTGATGCAAAGCGAGCTCCGCAGGTCCCAGCAAAGAGAGGGAGCCTTGAGAGATCAAGGGGGGACGAGTTTCGAGCCCCAGCTCCCCAAGTGGCGTCTGCGAAAGAGTGAGCTGGAAAGGGATCGAGTGACCCCTTCCTGGGAGATCTCCCCAACCTGCAGACCTCTTCGCTTCCCGCTACCAAACCTGCTCTTCGCTGTGCGCCTGTATGAAACCAGAAAGGGGCTTGCCACGGATTTGGTATCCGCACCGGCCTCCTGCGAATTTGGATTCTCACCGGCTTGCTAGCTTTTCCCTCCCGGGGGCTCAACAGATCCCATCACCTAAGCAGCCCGGGGGGGTGGGGGGGTGAACTCTTCTGCTTCCAGAATGACGGGGGGGAGGGGCTAGGGATAAATTTGGGGCTTCTCTGCCAACTCGGACAAGAAGAGGTGAAGAGAAGAGAAGGCTTAAGGTGGGAGTAGAAGGTGACCCACAGCAGAGTCGGGGGTTAGTAAGGCTGTCTCCTTGGGTGCCAATGCAGCGTGCATGGCTCTGGCGCCAAAATGTGTGGGTGCCCAGACCCTTTATGGGGAATTTTGTGGGTGCTCGGGCACTGCTATGCACTGCTGAAAGACCAAAAAGAAAAAGCTCTGCGCGCTTTATGGAGCTTCCTGGTGTCCCGTCCACAAATCTCTGGCCGGGCAGACCCCCCCCCCCACCGGGCACCGTCTGGCTGCTGACCAGGAGCCGAGCAGTCCCTTGCAAAGAGTGCAGAATCCATTTATTTTTTTCCCGGGTCTTTTTTTCCTCCCCCCTTTCCCTGCACGACCCGGCAAGCAGCAAACGCCTCCTCTCCCCAGGCGATCCATCACTGCTCGGATTTCTATGAACACCCAGGAGCGGTCCAGATCAATATTTCCTGGCGAGGTTTCCTAAGAAGATCGACCTTACGGGTCTTGGGGGCAGTTCGGTGTGTGGTTTTGTTTTTTTTAAAAAAAATCTGCTTTACAAAAAATAAAGATAAAAAACTCCCTCGTCTTCCTCCTTTCGTTCTCTGAGAAAACTGCCTGTCGGCCTCGCCTCATCCAGCCCAGGAACCCATAGCAGTTAAGAGGAGATATATGTATATAATATAAATAAATATACGTGGCTATCCCCTCCGGAGCGCAACGAGGAGGAGACTCCGATGGAGAAGGCGGCTGAAACTGTCAGCCTCACATGGCGCGTCTCCACGGCAGGATCCCCGCAATGCCACTCCGCACGTGTGCACGCGCTGTCCCGCGGAATACGCGCACACGCGCGCTTCTTTGAAAAAGAGGCACCGTTCGTGAATGCGATTAGAGGGGGGGGGAACCAGGCATCCACCCTGAGATTTTTTTTATTTTTGGCTGTTGCTTATTCCCGCTGACCCCCCCCCCACCTCCTTATTTTTCTCTCTCTTTTTCTCAAACCCCCCCCCCCACTTTTTTTTTGCCTATCTGCCGATCAAACGCGCGGGGATCTGCTCTGGTAAATGATGCATTAGATGCGGTGGCTGTATTTGTTGTGCGAGTTTTGAAAGGGTCCCGATAATCTGGAAGCGAGAGATAAGGAACAGCATTTATTCAGCAGCACTTTGGAACCAATTTTCAACCCTGTTCAACCCCATTCTCCTGCAGCCTCCAGGAGCCCAGGAGATAAGGATTGGACTATTCATTATCTTCACAAGGAACAAAGATTAGCTAGCAGAGATGAAAAATTACTCCTGGATAGTAATAATAAGGGAGAGAACCTCGGGAGCTGCTGAGCCCAGAGTCTCCAGGCTTTGGGAATACACACACACACACACACTTACACAAATACGTTTTAAAAAATCAGTTTCGAAAATATTGGGCTGCCCATAATAATAATAAAAAACCTGGCAGCATTATCATCATCATCATCATCATTAAGCAACTTAATGTTTATCATGTTTTCATATGTAGAATAAGATTGTTACCGCGCGAGGAGAGGGAGAAAGAGGTGGGGGTTTTCTTTTCTGTTCCCTTTACCAATACCCCACGTCTTCTCCTCTCTCTTTTTCTTTTCATAGTTTAAAGACTACATCTTCAGTAGGAAATCTAACCAGGGCAGCCGAGAGAGAGCGAAACACCATCATTTCATAATCATGGGAGAATCGTGGCGGGTGGGAATGAAATGCAGGCGGAGGGAAGACAGGGGCGGCGTGGAAAGTTGGGCGATTGTTGAATTTTGAGGAGTAAGGGTGTGTGTGTGTGTGTGTGTGTGTGTGTGTGTGTGTGTGTGTGTGTTTACTGACCCCTATAAACTTCCATACCGCTCAGAAAGTACAGACTATTACGATGGGGCAGAATATCAATAACAGCAGGGTATTAGTACTGGTATTGTTACACCACAACACATTAACCCACCCCCACCCCCCATAAGCCACTGTATCTCCCCGCAAGGTCTCCAGGCTCCAGTCCCACTATGAATTGGCAACACACACGTCCGACTTAACCCTTTCCCCGCCCAAGCTTTGCAAGTGATTCCATTTCACACCAGTTTGTTCAGTGGAGAAGCATTTGCTGTTCTTTCCATGCCTCAGATTCCCAGTACTGTACCTGGAACTGCAAAAAACATGGCGGGGGGGGGAGAGAGAGGGAGGGAGGAGATTTAAAACATACTTGAATAAATCTAGTTATGTATCTCATCTCCTAGAATGAAGAGTGATACAGGAGGGTAATTAAACCAGTTACTTTGGCAATGGGCTGCTTCGGACTGATAAGAATTATCTGCAGAATATCAAGGGGCCCTTTCCCCTCCTGAACCATATCACAAAGACAGACAGAAAATGCCAGCAAAATAGGATTCCACCCCCTTCTCCTTGCTATTGCTCTGGGGTGTGTGTGAGTGTGTGTGTATATATATATCCCACATACCATTATGATGATAATTCTTTTCCATTGAAACTCTTACACACACACACACACACACACACACACACACACCTCCTTTTTTTACCATACATGTGAAGTTTTCCTGTTCCTTACTATGAGCATAAAAATATTAAGCGGCGGTGGTGGCGGTTTTTAACTTGTGGGTACCTCGGATTTGAGACCGTAGGCGCAAACCCGAGACATCCAAGGCGTCGTCCCTTAAGCCCCATTGAAAGAAAGGGGAGTTAAGACTACAAGCTATACAGCCGGTCGTCAATCGCACCATGGTCACCGAAGAAACACGGCCAGGGAAGGACTGGGCTGTTGGGCATTTGACTTTCTCTTATGGCTGCTTCAAGTTGTTCACACACGCACACACGCGCACACACACACACACAAACACTCCTTTTGCTTTGTCCATCCCTCATACTCTTTTTTTCACCCTCATCCTCTGCCGCGCAAAGAACAGAAGTGCCCTTTTTTGCGAAAGGGACAAAACAAATTATTTGATTGGCTGCGATCTGGCAAGGTGATGGAGGAGTGTGTGTGTGTGTGTGTGTGTGTGTGTGTGTGTGAGCTAGTAAATGTGGAACAACAAACAAACAAACAAGCCAACAAACCAGAAGAAGATCCCTAGCTAGCCCAAGATATTTGTAGGCCAAACAAGGAAATAAAAAGCTTACGATTTCGCCAGCCCTTAAAAGCGGTGGCGTCTTTGACTTCCAACCATTTCCCAACCTATTAGTTCCGGCTGACTAGCCTAATGGGCCAAGAATTTATGAATTTCAAGATCTTTTCTTCCTTTCCTTTCCTCTTCCTGCAACAATGGCTGAAGGGCGGCTCTCGCTGCCTTTTCCAAGCGTCCTTGCGCGCTCTCACACACCTAGACACAAACACTTTCCCAGCTAGGTCTATGAAGTCCAGTTTAGAAGAAGTTAGGACCAAAAGCTTGGGCGATGGGCGGAGGGGGGGAGCAGAGAGAGAAGACAACGTGATAAAACAGGTGAGAGGGTTCAATCGAAGACTTTTCTCCCCAGCCCATGTAAGACCAAGGAGCTGTGAACTGCGGGGAGGGAGGTTGGCAACCCCGCTCCTCCCCGCACCCACCCCCGGTTTAAATCAATAGGAATAATTTTTAAAAGAGGTCTGGGATGCGGGTGATGGGCTGAGGATGTTGGTGGCTTTTTTTGCGGGGGGCTACAGACTTTTGAGCTCCGACCCCCCCCCTCGCCCCTCTTCCTTGGGACGGGGAGACTTTCTTTTGTGCGACTCCCTGCGCCCCGGAGTGGGTTGGGGGGGGCGTGCAGAGAGGTGGCGACGGCGGCGGGTGCGCGTCTCTGGAATAATATCAGTTCATTGGGAAATATGAAAGTCAAGTCGCGTCGCCTGTGACAGGGAAGGCAACAAAAGGTGCAAGCCGCAGACAATGCGAGGCGCTTGTACAGATATTGTAATGATGCAAATGAAGGCGAGGGGCCGAGCTGGCTGATTATGTACATAAATGCGCGCAGAGGACGCGCGCACGGGCTCGCCGTGCCATCTCTGAGCGCGGGAGGAGGAGCGGAGGGGGAAGCCGGAGGAGGAGAGAAATTCGCTGCCAGGTTTTGAGCTGACTTCTCTCTCTCCCCCCCCCTCCCCACACCCACCCCAATTCCTGGCAACCGATCTCGCTCGCCTTGCCTCCTGCCCATTCATCAGCCGCTCCTTGCCCCCTGGCGCTCCTTCTTTATTCAGATCCGCCGAGGGGAGCGCCGGGGCAGAGGCGAAAGGGTGGTCGCCGTCGTCGCTCTTTGCGCGCGCTCTCCCCGCCTGTCTCTCTCAGCGAATCCAGATGTGCCAGCTGCGGAGCCCAAGTCCTCCTCGGGAAGGGAGCCTCGGTTAAAGCTGCTCTCCTCCACCCACCCCAACGGCAGAGAAAGTGTGGGGGGCGAAAGGCAAGAGAGAGACAGACAGACAGACAGACAGAGAGAGAGACTGGGTGGTGGTGGTGGGGAACCCACACAATCCCAAGGAGGAGAAAGAAAAGGAGCTCAGGAGCTACAGGAGCGCGCGGAGAGGAAGCACCTCGGAAGAGAGCAAAGGTAAGCGCGTGATTCCAAGGCCAGCAACGCAAAGGAGGAAATGAAACACTGGATGGCGCGCAGGGAGAAGCGCTGTATCCCAGTAGCGAAACACCTGCTTGGCATGCAGAGGGTGCCAGGCTGAATCCTGGAGCTAGGAGGGCCTCCCTGCTGCCTGCCTGAAATCCCGGGGAGACGCTGCCGACCAGTGCAGACAGCACTGACTTGGTCTAAGCGATGCCGGAGGGGTTCCGGGCTGACCCACTCCGAGTTGGGCAGCGCAGGGAGAGGGGCTTGGGGTCAGCTGGCGGCAGAGATGCCCCCCATCGAGGCCACCTGGAGAGGCACCTGGTGTGGGGTGGTGGGGAAGGGGGGGCGCGCTTCTTTGTTCCTGCCATGCACTTGGGAGGAAAGCAGAGGAGGTGGGGGGCGCGGAGATGGACACCGGCTTCCCCCAACTCCACCCTGGGGACTTGTCTTTTTCAAGAGGGGCTAATGCCCGGTGACAACGAACTAAGCAGCTCCGGGGGGCCCGAGAGAAAGAGTTGTCGCCGAGTAAGCGGAATAAAGCCAGCCTTTTCTCTTTGCGTGAAAGGGGCATTCAGTGGCGCGCTTTTTGCTAACCCTTTCGGAAAACAAATAAACAAACAAGTCCCGGGGCTGTGATTTTAAAAGGGGTTTTTAATCAGACGTGGTTTGGGATGTCGGGGGTGGGGGGAGGGCAGATCAGCCAGGTTGGGTTATGCTACCAAAGCACGGGCTACATGCAGGAACCTCTCTCTATGTATTTATAAAGGACACATTTTCTTACCTGTATAAATATGAGCATGTTGGTATAATACGTACATGGAATCTATATTAAATAAGGGACAAAGGTGCTGCATTAAAAAGAAAAGAAAAGTAAGTGGCTAAGAGCTCTCTAGAAAACAGACTTGCTGTTGGTACCTGCAAGAAGTAAATAATTTTCTTCTGCTAAAAATAGAGATTTTTAGACACGGTGACGATTCAGGGAAGGTGGAATTATGGGCTGGGACTCCCGGCCATCGTGTAGTTTGTGCTGTTAAGTGTGCCTGATGAAAGACACCCAGATGAAAGTGCTTTGGGCTTTATGGAGCGGCTTGAAATGAGTTTCTAATTAACAGCGTCTTAAAATCATAGGGGAAATAAAATGTCACTTCTGTCCAGAAACCGAAGCGCATTTTACAGGCTGAAGACCCTTCTAACAGGAAGGGGAGAAAAAAAGATCCTCTTTCTTTATAGTTACACAAGAAAATTTTACTAGGGAGTTCTGGAAACCAAAACACGCTCTTCTCAGCCCATGGGAACCGATGGGAGAGGTGCGCAAGGATTTGTTTTATTCTATTTTATTTGTCACGGGCCAAAGAACAGAAAACAGCCAGAAGGCATCGCAGGGCGACGAGTCCTTTCAGAAACCAATCTTATGAGGCCGTGTATGTTTGTGCATTATAAAAAAAGACACACACACAAACTCGACCTTCCCACTTGGGGAGGGGGGAGGAGAGAGAAAAAATCAGCAAAGAGAGAAGTGGAGGGGAAAAAGAAAGTTAAAAAAAATAAAATACCCCCTGCCCTGTTTCATCTCTTCCCTCCCTCCTCCACAACCACACGCGCGCGGGCACACTTTTCCCAACCTATTGTTCTGAGATTTGTGTGCGTGTTTTAAGAGGACGGGGTTCTTTTGAAGGGGGGTTGAGGGTTTTTTCTTCTTCCCTGGAAACCCCCGCAGTTCCGAGGATTTCCCCCCACCCTCTCCTGTCTCTGGTCTTTCTGCACCTGCCTGCCCAGGGAGCTTTCTCAGTCCCGGTCCCGTGCAGAAGATTTGCACAGCTTTGCATGTTTTAGAACTATCCAACTCTAGGCGACCAGCCTCTTCCCGATCCCCCCCCCCAATCCCACCCTCCCCCCTTTTTTGCTTCTTTTTATTTTTTTCTGCTGGGGTCAGCTTTAAAAATAATTCTTTCTTCTCTCACCGACCCTTCCTCCTCTTCTTCCTTTTGCACACTACCCTCACCTTCCTCCGTTGTCGGGATTCGAAGTCGCGGCGAATCCCCCGCCAGCGCATTACAGGAGATGATTTCAGCAGGGAGAGGGGAAGGCTGTGGTGGGAGCAGGTTTGGTCCGCAAGACGAGAAGAAGCTAAGCGGAGAGTAACCTATATACCAATCGTAAGGCTGAGGGTGTGTTTGTGTGTCTCTGTGTCTGTAAATAGCCATTTCCTATGAGACGGATGTGAGACTCCAGGCATCACACGTGCCTATCTGTGGCTAGCCAAATAATTAGCGTATACATCTTTTACATAAATAAATATTAAAATAACAACTTTCCTCTCAAATGTAGTTAAAAAGAAAACCCGCTTACAAGCTGACTACACAGACAAAACGTCTGTTTAAAATAAATTAACTATAACGCAATAAACGCAGATAAAAAACGACTCAAATTGTATGCATTCAAATAGGGATGATGATGATGATGATGAGAATAATAATAATAATAATAATAATAATAATAATAATGATGAAAGCACCAGTGAGCAGAATGTATTATTACTATTATTTTCCTTTCTGTCTTAGCTGACATTTCTAAGTCTTACCAATTTGGCTGCATCCCACAAATTACTCATAAAGGGCAACTCTGCGTCGACTCTCCTTTAGCAGCAACTAACATTTGTATGCAGACTGGAGCAGGATCCCTTCCTCATTTACGGATGCAAGTCCTAAACACTACTAGGGAGTAAGTCCCGTTGAAAGAGTGCGGCTTACCTCCCAGTATCACGCGCGGGGGCTGTGCCGGCTCATTTGTTTCTTGCATCTTTTATATAACCCAAAAAAGGTTGTCTCTGGGCCCATCAACGGTATCTTAAAGCAAGTCATTTTAAAAGAAGAAAAGAAAAGAAAATGACCCGCCCATTTCTCGCTCCCCAAAGGATCCATGAATTCACTTTGATGAATAGTCCTCTGGACAAATGATGCATCTCCGTGCTGCAAAATGGCAGGATCCCATTTTGCAAAACACTCGTGGCCTGTTTCTGAAACGGACCAAATTTCCGTCTCCCGCTTGGCTCTCTTTTACAGCCTCCACCCCGAAACGTTTTTCTCTTGGAGAAACGAGTCCGGGGCGTTGCGTGGGAAAGGAAGGCGGGCGGGCACCGCTGAACCGATGTCAACACGCATTAAAAAAATATTAATTCAGGACATCGATCCCTCCCAGGTTGCAAGAGCCCTTTCAAGGGGGCACTGCACGACCCTTTATGAACCCCCAGGTATGTGGGTCTGAGTTCAAGCCAACCTCGCCTTTTCTTTTCTTTTTGTTTTGTTTTGCAAAGTGATATTTGTAAAACTATTTTTCGATTCTAACTGGTGTGGAATGAAGCGGGGAGCTGGCGAAGCGGCAGAGGGGCGGACAGAGGAGATGGGTTGCGGGGAGAGGGGCGGGTGGCTGGTGCTTAGTGGCTGACAAATTGCAGGTTAATAAAATGTATTTGCAGGCTGAGTGTCAGGTGCATCTGGTGGTTAGGATTTGAAAGGGGAAAAGAGAAAAAACTAGGAAGGTGAAACGAGAAGCAGGCTCAAAAAGGGGAGAATATCCAGTACAAATTAACAGATTGAAGGAAATGGTGGGAGGCAACGAGGACTTGGAAATGCAGGAGGCTTTCACAACATATACATACATACATACATACATACATACATGTATGTATATGTGTATATGTATATGTATATGTGTATGTGTATGTGTATGTGTATGTGTATATGTGTATGTGTATATGTGTATGTATATGTATATGTTGTCGTTTTTAACGAAGCTTAACCGGACCTCGTGGTTAAGTGGTTGATAGTTTAATTGTACAACCCCGTTAGCACCCCTTCAAAAGCACTGGTATCACTGGCCGTATTTGAAGAGAAACAAAAGGGAGGACAGAAGAAAATGAACAATCGTTTAAAAAACAACAAAAAGCCCCACTAAAGCCCATGAAAGGGGGGTGAGGAAGCAGGGACCCTGCCTGCAGGAAGCGGGTTGCCCTCGGAAATGGGGCTAGTGAGGAATTTTGGGTGGCTCCATAGACAGACGTGAGAGCTCTCTCGCCCCAGCTGGGCGCTGCTGGCTTTTTCCATTCGCTCGCCCTGCAAGTCAGATTCACTCCTTGCCATTCTCAAGAACCCCAACCCGGAGCTAGATGTGCGCGCCTGGTCCCCACCTATATGGCTTATGAGAGGCTGAGGTGTGTGGTCGGGGGGGGCAGCATCTGGGCTGGGAAAGAGGCCCCGAGTTTGCTTTCGGAACTTCCCCCTCCGTTTTCAGTCAGACTCTACGGCCAAGTCCGAATATGAGCCCGTGATGGCTCAACGAAACAAAGAGCCAGCAATCAGAGAGAGAGAGAGAGAGAGAGAGAGAGAGAGAGAGAGAGATGGTGCTGGACATTCCCGGATCTAGCCCTCGAGGAGAGGACTGCCAATGCCTTGCCCCCCCCCCCGCCTCCAACTGCAAACCGACGCTCTCTCTCACTGGGCGCAGCGAGGCTTACTCCCGAGTAAACACGCGCGAGGGAGGGGGCCCCTTCCTGGCTGCTGCCATCCCGCCCAAGCTGCTCTGCTCGCAGGGATTTACTTCCGAGAAGACGTACAAGAGGATTGGGCTGAACAAAACTGAACAGGGAGGGGGGAGGAGAAAAAGTCTGGAATGCATTGATGGGGAAACAAAACGAAACAAAAATCCTACGGGGTGTGTAGCGTGTGTCCTCCCTCCCCGCTCTAAAGCAGTCCGCCCTTTATCTACAGCTCCCCCCCCCTTCCGCGCTAGTCCTTTGCAGCAGAGGAGACCTTTGGAGAGGCGAGTGGCTCTTTGGCTCTCTCGCTACCTGCAGCTGCAGCGCACGACTAACGCTGGGGTGCCTGCCTGCCTGGACGGCTAACCCGGAAGACGAGAGAGCGGTGTGTGTGTGTGTGTGTGTGTGAGTGAGTGAGAGAGAGAGAGAGAGAGTCTGACGCCACTTGTACGTGCTT